TGTTATCATTGTACAGTTCAAAAGCCAGTATTCATGATGGTATAGGGGTGCATTGGTGTGCATGGCATGGGTGACGTGCACATCTGTGAAGGCAACAATAATGCTGAACAATATATACATATTTTGGCAACATATGCTGCCATCCAGATGATGTCTTTTTTATGGAAGGCCTTGATTATTTCAGCAAGACAATGTCAAACCACACTCCGCATGTATTACAACAGCATTGCTCTGTATTAAAAGAGGCTGGGTGCTAAACTGGCCTTCCTGCAGTCCAGACCTGTCACCACTGAAAACATTTGGCACATTATGAATGAAAAATATGACAAAGGAGACCTTAAACTGTTGGGCAGCTGAAATCCTATATCAAACAAGAATGGGAAAACAGCTCACTTTCAAAACTACATCAGTTGGACTCCTCAGTTCCCAAATGCTTACAGAGTGTTTTTAAAAGAAGAGGTGATGAAACACTGTGGTAAATGTGCCCCCTGTACCAATTTTTTTGCACATCATTGCATTTTGTTTTTGTTCACATTCTGCACAGCCTCTTAACTTTTTTGGAAATGGGGTTGTATTTGAAGTTCTCATATTTCGCACAATGGTTACATAAGGCTACTTGAAATCTCAAACAATCCTACTTGTGAAAGAAACCTGATCACTAAGAAAGAAAAGTTAAATAGTATAGAGTAAACAAAATTCTAAGTACATTATCTGGTTAATATTAATATTTCCTGAGGATATTTCTGGTGAACCTCTATTATGATATAAACAGAGGGACCCCCAGAATGAAAGTTTTCAAGTTATAAAGCTTAGTTTGCATCCAGAATTTACTTATGTTAAGTCAAAAGTTTCCAGTCATACTGGGCTGGTTGAGAGGAGAGATGGTCAGGCCTCCTCCTTAGAGAATTTTGGGGGCCATAAAACATGACTGGTCAGATTTTGACCAGACATCTGGTGACTGTGATTCCTCTTTGTATCTTAAGTCAGAAAGTTCTGATCAGTTTATATATATATTTTTTTAGCATTTCACACAATGTCCCAGTATTTTTGGAGATGGGTCTGTAGTTTGGACTCTTGGCTCTATTAGCAGTCCTGTATCCATGGGTATAAGAGACATATTTTGTAACTATTGCCCATGGTTACATAGGCTCCATTGACTGCCAAAATATGTTTTTACACCCATAATATTTACAAAACACACAAACAGGTATCATCCAGTGTTGTATTCGTGTAGTCTTTTGAGTAAGAACTGTCTTTGAGTCTGAATCAGGGTTTAAGTCTCTGCTTGAAGGAAACAAAGGACTGATCTCACTAAGTGAACAGCTTGAGTTCAAAAAGGTGTTGTTTCCCAGGCTACGGCTTCAACCCCACTGTTTGTAACACGCGGATGATCTTGAACCAGATCTAGATTTAACTTCAGGACCATTTGTTACACTCAGAGAACCCACAGAGCACCTTAGTGAACTAATGCAGACTTTCAGTCAAATGTATTTAGACGAACAGCCTTTTCAGGAGGCAGAGGAAGAAGATGTAGGGATAGTAGAAGGTATAGAAGAGGAAGAGAATTTACCACCAGTAAACAAGTCAGCCACTGATATCCCTGACAGAATACAAGCATTAGAAGCTAATGTAACTACTTTAGAAACCAAACTAACTCAAGTGGAGGTTAAAGTAAATGAATGGTGTTCAGATATAGAAGGTCAGGTCAAAGCAACACAGGAGCAATGGCAGTATCTCCTTGAAAGGGAATGTAATAAAGTAAAGAGCTTGCTAGAGTTAAATATAAAAGATCTGGGACAGGCAGTGGTCGACTGTTTGAAGCGTAGAGAGAGACAGATTGAGTCCACACCACTGCTACTTCTACACCAAAAGCAGGAAACTGGCCACAGCAAGTTAGCCGTTGTGAGAATGTGTCTGTACTCGCAAGTAATCCTAGATTGAAAAATGTGAGGAATTCTTAGCTGTATATCCATTGTCTGATTTCTGAAATTTTTGCTACTCAAACATCAGTGTTAACAGGAACTGCAAAGGATTGGTGGTTGGCTGAAAGGAAAGCAGTAAAAACCTGGGCACAATTCAAAACATCTCTTTTTAATAAGGTATTATTTGATATTCTATGCTATTTCTAGGTCACTATTAAGCAAATTTGTAAAAGTGACCATGTTTGTGCAAAAAGTTTTTTGTTTTTTTTTTGTCTTATTCTTTCCATTGAAACACATTTTTAAACTCTACTGATCAGAGGCTTTTGTACAAACTTAAGGAGTCCATGCTAGCTTGAGCAATTGCAGTCATTAGAGCAAATGGGGGACATAACAAATACTTAGAAATTGTAAAATGCAAAATAGAAGCATTGCACAAGTGTCTCATACTATGTACACTATACATGTTAATTTTCCCAGTTTATTTGATTGGGGCTGTTCAATGTACTACTTTTACATCTAATACTGCTAATAATAATAATAATAAAGCAAAAAATATTTTCCATGTAGTTACGAAAGTGAAACATGTTTTGAGCTTTTCATATTCTTAGAGAGTACTCTAATATTCAAGGTAATGTTCAATACAATATTAGAAAATTAATTCATAGGTGCAGCCTTAATCCTAAGAATGGAGACTGAGTAAGCATAACCCAGTACAATTTGATGATTATTACAGTAGCAAATTATGTATGCACTGCATTTTACAAACAAAATATTAGCAAAGCCATTCAGAGTGGCTTATTGTGAAATAACAGTAAAAAAAAGTAATAACAATAATAATAATAATAATAATAATAGTTAAAAATAGTAAATGTATGCAGAAATTTGGGCAACGCTTACAAACTCTAGTAATTTTAGAAGTGAAAAACATTAAGCACAACCTTCACATTAAACTGTTTTGGTCTTTTTTTGCAAATGGTAGTGCATGGTTACTTTATTTGATTAACTAAAAAATTAGAATTACAAGTACACACTCTTCCAGTTGTAAAGTCTGAGAACTTAACATGTTAGGTCTTAATTGACTCATTAGAACTGATTAGGCAGGTCAAGAATTATCAGTTGATGAGAATTCCAGAGTGTCATAAATTCTCAGACTCTTCAAAACTTGCACTAACACTCCCATGGGCTTATCTGATCTAAGTAAAACTGTTTGATGCCTACCACATAGAAGAAGGCTATAAAAAAAAATTCCAGCTTGCCGTTTCCATTATATGTTATGGCAAAGGGGAAAAGTGGAAGTCAAGTTAAAATCTAGAAGATGAACTGCTTGAATAGTAAGGAACAATTAACCATTGAACACGGGTAGATCTGTTATGCTTTGGGGTTGTCGGTGGTTGTTGCAGTGGCACAGGGAACACTGCACGGGTAGAAGGATGAATGGATTCCATTAAATATCAGATCATGCCACATTCACTGTAGCTGTAGCTGTACCAATCAGGCCTGATTATGACCACCTCCTTGTTTCTACGCTCATTGTCCATTTTATCAGCTCCACGTACTATATATGTGCACTTTGTAGTTCTACAATTACAGACTGTAGTCCATCTGTTTCTCTGCATACTTTGTTAGCCCCCTTTTACCCTGTTCTTCAGTGGTTAGGACCCCCATGGACCCTCACAGAGCAGGTACTATTTGGGTGGTGGATCATTCTCAGCACTGCAGTAACACTGACGTGGTGGTGGTGTGTTAGTGTGTATTGTGCTGGTACGACTGGATCAGACACAGCAGTTCTGCTGGAGTTTTTAAACACCTCAGTGTCACTGCTGGACTGAGAATAGTCCACCAACCAAAAATATCCAGCCAACAGCATCCTGTGGGCAGGGTCCTGTGACCACTGATGAAGGACTAGAGGATGACCAACACAAACTGTGCAGCAGCAGATGAGCTATCGTCTCTGACTTTACATCTACAAGGTGGACTGACAATGTCGGAGTGTCTAATAGAGTGGACAGCGAGTGGACACCAGTGTTTAAAAACTCCAGCAGCACTGCTGTGTCTGAACCATTTATACCAGCACAACACACACTAACACACCACCACCACGTCAGTGTATATCCAGGTGGATTTGGCAGCCCCACTGAGTTTGTCTGGTCTTACTGCTTAATGGTTTAGCTGTTGTTGCGCCTAGATGCCTCCATTTCGTAGTAATCGCACTTGCAGTTGACCACGGCACATCTGGCAGTGCAGAAATTTCACAAACGTGAAAAGTGGCATCCTATAAAGGTGCCACATGTAAAGTCACAGCCCTTTAGTATGACCCATTCTACTGCCAATGTTTGTCAATGGAGACTGCCTGGTTATGTGCTTGATTTTACAAACCTGTTAGCAATGTGTGTGGCTGGAACACCTGAACTCAGTAACACTTGAACTCAATGACATATTGTGTGTGTGTGTGTGTGTGTGTGTCTTCTGCTTTTTTTTCCTGATGCGTAACAGCCATTTTAACTGGAAGGATGGTTATATGCAGTCAGTGGTCAAGATGTTTAGTATAAGAACAGGGGCACATAGACTATAATGAGCACCATACCTTCTGTAAAATTTGATTAAAGATTTTTGAAGCTTGAGGTTGCAGTAGCCTAGCACTTAATCTTTAAATTAACTTTTAATTAAAAATTTTAATTAAAACTGCAAATGTCTGTATGTTGGCCTGTTCCACATTTCATTTATTCTTTCTCATAAATATACAGTTTACAGGGTATTTTTTTTTTTAATTTATTGAATAATAAGTGTTAAGATTAATAAATAAATGCATCCCTAAGTAGTAAAGAATAGTTAATTCTTTATAATGAAAGTAGTAGTTCTTAATGCAATTACTAATGAACTAATGCTTTGTTTGTCATACTTTCAGCAATACAACAGTACTAGCTTCACAGAAATCTAGGTCTCCTGTCAAGCATAGATAGAGTATGACTAACATTTGTCTTCGAAAAATAGCAAACTTTGTTTTTAATTCTTTAATCTTTTAAATCTTTTCATTCATCCAATAGGAAATTTTTCATGTAAATTTGTGGTGAATTGCAGGGATTACACAGGAGATGATCAATGAGACTCGAGCAGCAGTGGAAAGGAGGATGCTGGGAGATATTCAGAATATTCTACGTAATGGAGAAGACATCAATCAGCATGACTCACAGGGAACCACTTTGGTAAACACATAAGCACAATGATATTTATTGAATCAGTGCCTCAACACAGTGACACGATACTCAAACTTGCACAATTACACATTTACTGCCATCAGTTTTGGCAATGAAAACTCTAGCATATCTAATAACTGGATTAAAGAAGTAAATAAAACAGCAGAGGGCATACCAATGGTAGAGAGTTGAATATAAAGCTAAAACACTTTTTGCAAAAACATATTCACCATTTATATGTCTTGACTGAAACGCTGGATGAAAAAGCATTGAAAGGTCTTCCATCAGGTCTTCCTGCTTTTTGGTGTGGTAAATGGTTCTACTGACCATTTCTTAGACTGATGTGCTGAACTTGATCAAGGGATTGAATGCTTCAAGTTTTATTTTCTCTACTACCCTAGAAAGTGTTCTACCACTACTAAATACAGTAAATAAATACAAGTAAACATTTATGCTGTAAAAAGTAACAGAACTTTCTTGTTCTAGCACGCCTAATTTAACACCTGAAGTATGAAACAGGTGACAAATCATTGTCAGTGATGCCTAAATATACTCCTATACAGAGTGATTCATCTTTGATCCATGATTGGATTTAGGGGGCAACCATAGAAGAGAGACCCACCCTAGTGACTGTGTCGGACTTCGTGTGCTTTTACTTGTTTACTTCCTCCCCATATAGTTTATGGTAAGCTTACAGAAATAGGTTACAGAAATAGGCTTTTACACAGAGAGCCTATTTACACCTTGCATCAACATGTGTTTCTTATCTGGACCCTATCTGAAAGTACTTGGCTGGATTCACTTTAAACGTTTCATTAAAAAAAAAAACCCAGTGTGACTGGGTAAGATCTGATTGCATTTTTACCTCGGAAAAAGCACATTTACACACGTCATTTCACTTTTTAGGGTCTATGCACTGTAGGTGCATGAAACCCTATTGGAATTGCTCTAATTTCTACGGATCCAAGTACCTTTAGGTGCATGGAACACTGTTGCTTTTGCTAGGATTTTTCTTCTTATTCTTTTTCTTCCCTAAAACTGATTGAGGAGAAGACAACTTAAGTCATCTTGACTTTGTAGTAAAGAATGGCCGTGAGAAATCAATGAATCCGTTTGGCCTAGCTTTTTCTGACTGAAGGGGCTATAAATTATTTAGTTTTTATCTGATTGTGACAAAACATGGAAAAAATGCACATTAACATTTTATGAGGAAGCATGCAAAGTTTCATGTATACTGATCTCTATACACCCCTTCAATACTTAATCTAGTGCATATATTATTGTATGAGTGAAATAAAGAAAAGATTAAGATTTCAAATTACACATCACATTAACATCTATAACATTTAATTATATGTATGTTCCAAAATTGCAGAGGAAATATAAAAATTTGACTTAGGCCGAATTCCATTTCACCCCTTGCCCCTACCACTTAGCCCTTAGCCCTCTGTTTTGCGTGTTCGCGTCTATGGTTAGGGTGTGCCAATTTTTGTTGAGATGGAGGGGTATGGCAAAGTGTTAGGGCTACATAGCCCTCCAAACAAAGGTTTTTCAGAGGCACACTCCAAACGGAGTGTTATGAGAAAAAAAGTAAAACCGGCAAGATGGCTGCGTGAGTGACCAAAGAAACCCACAAATGTAAGTATTTTCTCCGTTACAAAATTACGATAACCATTGTATTATCTTAGTTTGATGTCATTTCAATGTCTTATGGTCTTTTTCTTCATAACAAGTATAAAAAAATTGCTAATAGTGTGCTAATGTCTCAGTAGTTAGCTAGCGAACTTTCCCGTTCCACCTTAAATATTCCAGCAGTACTGACGCCTGAACACCAGAATGTAACTGGTGCACCATTTAAGGTGGAACGGGAAAATTTGAGCAAGAAGCTGGTGAATAGCTGACTTCAGCTTCATATCACCAAAGAATTAGCGGTGGGCGATAATAAATAATTGTCTTATACCCACTTTTGAAAGCATATGATGCCCTAAATTGTAACCAAAGCCCAGCAGCGAGGTTGCTGAACTTTTCCCTTCTCTGCCATCACTGAAGATGGGCTGGGTCGTCTACAGAGCACTGCTAGTAGCCTGTTAATGAAACAATGTTTTTTTTTTTCTTTTTTTAATTTGTGGGTTGTCCCATTTTGTAGGGCAAGATTTCAACCACTGCCCCTTGTAACTCAGTTCCAAGGGGTTAGGGTGACACTCGAAAATAAGGGGTTAAGGGTAAAAAGATAAAAATGGGTTTGGGCCTTAATCTCATCTTGGCCATAGAATCAGGACTAATAATATCTTCTCTGGCCACCAGAGGGAGTATCAGCATTAAATGCAAATAATGACTCCAAACATACATATGGTCATATGGTTTGCAATATCTATCTATCTGTCTAATTTTGTGTATTCCACCGAGCCTGGCAATTTTGCAAAACACAAGTCTTTTAAAACTATTGTTTTTCTGTAAATCATCTGATGTTTTCATACTCCTTCCTGAAATGTTTTTGCATCGTCTCAAACTTTGTCTCAAAACAACCGTGGAAGTCTCGAGGTCAATAATAGTTTTAAAAATCTTGCCTTTTAAGCACAGTGTTATTGCAAGTTATGGATTAATTGGCGGTTCGGTTTGGCCTATTCTGAAACAAGGGGACCACAAATCTGTCAGTTATGCTCTGATTGTGACCAAAATTAATACGTACATTGATGATAATCAGCTGAGAAAAAGTATGACATTTGGCTTGAATTGGCTGAAGTTGGCTCTTACAGTGATCAATCAGTTTGGCCTGGCCTGTTTTGACACAATGGGCCATAAATCTGTTAGTGGTCCTCTGATTGTGACCAATTGCTTTTTACGTACATTGACAATAATCAGCTAAGGAAACGTGACATTTGGCTTTAATCGGCTTAAATTTGTTCTTACAATGCTCCATATACTGCCAACAATCTAAAATGTAATTATTCCTGTTTAAGATTATAATAAAGACATGACAATTGTTTCAAATCATTAATTAATAATTAATTCAAATTATCTTGATGAGAATTAACACTTTGCAAATATGTGTAGGTTGCTTAACTTTACAGGAAATCCTATAATTTGGTTTAAGCAAATTTTGATCAGAGCAACAAGTGTTGTATTTTTCTATGGCCACCAGAAGGAACCAAACCAGGAACTGCAAATGTCAATGTTGAACGGATTAATGAAATATACAATTATTGGAAAGCTTTACTGTATGTCTTTAGGTGAAGAGCATTTCTGAATGTTATGCTTTCCACCAAGCCTGACAATTTTGCAAAGACAAGCCTTTTAAAAAAACTCTATTGGTTTTCTGTGAATCTGTAAATTTTCTGTTTGAAAAGTGATTTTCATCAGTTTGGCCTGGCCTGTTATGACACGCTGGGCCATAAATCTGTCAATGGTGCTCTGATTGTGATCAAATGCTTTATGTACTTTAACAAAAATAATCAGCGAGGGAAACATGATATTTGGCTTGATTTGGCTTAAACTGGTTCTTACAATGCTCAATATATTGCCACAATCTAAAATGTAATTATTCCTTTTTAAGATTATAATAAAGACATGACATTGTTTCAAATTATACATCTTAATGAGCCTTAACACTTTGCAAATATATGTGTGTACAGGAAATCCTGTAATTTGGTTTAAGCAAATCTGAATCAAAATTTCACCACCAGAGGGAGCCAAATCGTTAACTGCAAAGGTCAATGAGTACATTTACATGCACTCAATAATCCATGCACTCATAATTATTCATAAAAATTCAAATTGTCATGTGAACACCATACTCCGAACTAAAAATCCAGTTAATAAATCTGATAAAGAGAGCTGGATTTTAGCTTAGTAATCAGATTGATCAGTGCATGTGTACTCATACTCCGATGTCTTTTGGATTTCTCAGTCCATAAGTGTTTTGTTGCCGCTCCAAAAGTGTTTTGTTGCCATCTCGCAGCAACAGTTGCTGCAAGATGGCAACAAAACACTTTTGGAGTGGTGCTGAAACCAACGAAATAAAGGATTTAAATATTCTTTATCTTCTAGATGATTAATGTTCATATTTTCAGGTAAAGTTGCGCAATGTTTAAAAAAAAAAGCTGCAGCATGACGTTTTACCTTACGTTTACATCACGTCCTCTTCTGTGAGTTTATTGGCTCGTTGCAAAGCAGAAATCCGATTACTGCCTGACTCGTGTAGACCTGCAGTTTCCTTATCTGATTACTCAAGTGCATGTAAACATGTTGATCAGATTACTGACAAAATTTGATTTTCTGCGGTTATCAGATTATTAAGTGCATGTAACCGCACTCAGTGTTGAGTGAATGAATTTAATATACAATCAGAGGAAAGCTTTACTGTATTTGTCCTTTGGCAAAGAGCATTTCTAAATATTATGCATTCCACCAGGTCAGCCAATTGTTGAAGTACAAGTCTTAAAAAAAACCCTACAGTATTTGCACAGTTGAAAAAAGATGGTAAATGGACATTTTCTTACTGCTTCTTGAGATTTAATCAAATTAAATTGTTCTTAAAACAGTCTACGAATTTGAAGAGAAATAATTATTGAAACATCATGACTTTTAAGCACAATGAATAAATTAAATACATTTGAATAAATTGGTGTGACCTGGCTTATTCTGCCTTAAAAAGTTAAAATACATCAATAACTGTCTGATTCTAACCAAATTTGAAAGAAATCTACAAAATGACAAACTGAGGGTGTGTTATGATTGAATTTGCAATTATAGTACTCAATAATCACAATAATTGCAAAGGTGGAAACTAGTCCCCAAAATGGTGCTCTGCCGTGGGTCTCTTGTAGCTCACCAATGAAAACATCTGCCTTTGAAGACTAAGGTTGTGGGTTTGATTCCTCATCATAGATGTTGGATGGTGCTGTAAAAATTGTCATGGACATGCATTTAATTAACTAACTTAATTAATACTAAAATGGTGCATGGTTCCTTGTTACTTCCTTCCAATAATTTGTTTCAGAAATTGCAGC